GCCTTGATGAGAAGAGCTAATGATTTCATCAAATTTAGGTATTATTACAAGTGAATTCATCTGCCATTTCAAAACCAAAGTGAACCGCGAGGTGGGTGCGAACGAATGGAAAATACTTGGCAGTTCACAATTGGCAGGCATCTGTCACTACCAGCAATGTGATTGGCTGCGGCATTTACCAGGAAAAGTTATACCATCTCGAGAGGTAGTATAACTCTGCAGGTCATAAAGGTGAGATAATCCCTTGTTTTTTCATGTGAAAACAGATTGCATTTTTAACTCGCTTAACTTAGAACAAGCTGTTTTCACTGAACTTTCGGACTTTTCCGACTTTAACTAGTCAAACTTGTCCTAGTGAAAACACACCCAAAGTCCCTATTTTTATCATGGAGTAATTCGGCTTAACTGTGGCCTTTCATTTCATAAAGAGTGCCTGCTAGACCAACATGAGGATGGTGAGCAAAATTGTGCAATAGCAGGTCCTGTCAATTGCCCAATATGTTACGAACCACTCCAACAACATAGGGAAAACTTAGCTACCACATTCAACGAGCGAGCCTTACTAAAAAACATGTCATTAAAAAAATAGATATACATTTCAATTTATCTTAGTTTTCTTCTTTAACTAATACAACTGATTAAATGAACAATTAAATCAAATTATACGGACAAAACTTACCCCGCATTTTTACCGACCTGTGTACCTACATGTCCGTTCTTAGTTGTCTTGTCTTCCAAAACACAGATACCTGGCGGGAAATGGCGAAGACGAAGACGATGACAAGGACAACATCGATGGACCAGAACATGGAAGATTCGGGCGACGACAATGAAGACATAAATAACAAATCCTAAATTGCGTAAGTCGCAAACATTTAAAAACAAGCCTGCCAGCGATTCTTTTGCAGCATAAAGAAGTCCACATTCTCTACAGATTTGACAAGATCATGTAAATCAGTCTCGCTTTAGTTTCCGGTAAGTTCTCCATAATATTACTTTCACATCAGAGAAGATACAACTGAATCCCACTCTTAACGATGATAGAGGCAGTCCACCACCTACTTCAGACACCATATCATTTGTCATACTCATTCAAAGCAAGTACTCTTTAAGTCAGTAAGAATGGAAAGGTCCGAAGTAATTAACGCACCTCATTGCATGTTGGTGAATCGGTGAAGAGTGGAGTACGTGTTCGGTAGTTTAGATCATTTTTTTCCAGCCAATCAGGTGTTCTGAACTGAACTGTGAACTGACATCTGGTCATCGTACTACTCTTCTTACCTCGACACCGCGGAAATACGTTTTCGTGACGTCACATTAACTGGTCATCAACTTTAGGCATCCAAGCGGTTCCATATGTTCCATATGAAGACATCGGCTTTTTCCGTGGTTTTAAGTTGGAAAATATGCATGATACTTCTCCTTGTTTGTTATATTTGATCCTTTGAATTAGTTTTTAATACTAAAACCACGTCTTAACAACTAGCGGTATAGGGGAGTCATTTTGTTTGGAGTTGTGTGCTGTTTGCTGACTTAGGCTGGCCGTCCAGTTACGAAGCGCGATCTTGGTTCTTCAGTCGCCCTCGCCTTCAGAATTGTCAAAAACAGCGATAGTTATCCAGACAAAGCAGGAGATTAGTTCTGTAAGATACTTTACCAGCGAGTCTGAAGACTGGTTGGATTTTTAAGTGTTATTAGCATGAAGCGATACAGATAATTATTGTGTTTTGAAAATATTCATACACTCACTTACCGCCGACGTGCGGTGCCTTTTCATTTTGGTAATTATTCGCTTGGATGAGAATTTTACCTTTATAGACTGATTTTTCGCCATTCCACCNAACCAAAAGAACATAAAGAAGCTGCCGAAAAAAGGGTTTTCACCCTCTCTCTCTCTTTTGCTGCAGGAATGCATGATATAGGTTTCTTTGGGCAGGCAGCAAATGCATAGCTAACATGGACAGAACAATTGGGTCAGCTATGTCAACTTTCCATGTTGATCTTATGAAATCGTTATCAACGACTTACTTGTTTGGATTCTTTGATTAATAGATAGCTGACTGTGAAAAAAAAAATCATTATCGAACACAACGGTCTAAATGTTTAAATTAAGATGAAGTAAATTTAACGCTTTCTAGCTACCAACGTAGGAAAACAGAACTGGAAAAAAATATGAAAACAAAACAGAAAAGTTATCATTTAAGTTACAAAGAAGTTAGTTCTATTCTCTCTTTCATCGGAAAACATAATTCTTATGTATTTCTGTTCATAAAAAAGGTACAAAGAAGGTGTTTTTATTCCTTTTTCTTTTGGTAGTGATCGATATACACCTGTTAAAATACCCGCGGCAGATTGGATTTCACAATAAAGTGGAAATGAGCGGGATATTACAAGGTATAGAAAATTGCGATGTTTCTGTTTAAATAGCAAAGTAAGCAAGAAAAATTTTGTTCCTGTTTGGGTTCCTAGCTATGTCGATCGTAGACTGTGGAAAATTAAAGAACAGACAAAGAGGGAGGAGAAACGCAACAGATTTCATTCCGTGATTAAAGGAAAATGAACCGCAGTGCGGTCAGAAGTTGTGGATTCACTTTTTCAAGTCGAAAGACTTTAAGGTTGAGAATATTTAAACTAGTTTTTCTAGTGTTGAACTTTACAAACGCCTGTATACCTGAAGTATGCCTTAATAATACGAAACAGTAGTTTACGAGTAAGAGAGAAATCTCCCTTAATTTGAAAACCATAAGTACTATCCATCATGCATTGCAAACAAGCATTAAAAACTTTTCAGTGCCTTGAATTATGCAAATGATCAGTTAGTCTTTCTTCTGTTCCTCTCCATCAAAACATCATTTTGCCTTAGGTTGTTGTATCATAAACTAAAGTCGCAACAATTCAAATAAAAAGTGATGGTGAATCGAAGGTGATTATAATTATAGTGATAATGAAAATACTGATAACAACACACCAAGGGACCAGTAAGATCCCACCGAAGAGGCCAATCATTCTCTATGAAATACCTGGCGAGTGGAGGAGTTTGGGGAAACACATGAATTTCAGTGGGAACGGAGCCGGGGATCAGTCGTCGCCAACAAAGGTTAAAAAAAGAATTTTTGACTTCTAATAAACTGCGAATGAGATATTACAGAGCCTTAGAGGGGCATCAAGTAAGTTTTATTGTGACACAACTGCACACACTCGAAGAAAAGGTGTGAGGACCTATTCTCGTCTTAACATGCCTAGCTACCAATGGTAACCCGTCTTATATCTAGCACGTTCAGCCTTAGTTAAGGAAAATTAAAAAAAAAAACGTACTTGGGTTATTTACTCTATAATATTGAACAGTGCATGTAATTTGATTGAACATCACACCGTGGTCAATCGGATGAAGCGAGTAATGTATTAGACATGTATTTTGATATCAAGACTTTCAACACGAGACCTTAGCTTGTTGAAACTAAGCGCTAGTTAGCTAGACACCTTACTTAGATTGACATAAACAAAAACCACACAGGTTAAAGTTACTTTTTAACCAGCTTTATTCCCACAATTTTTTTTATCTATCCGTGACAGCTACTTGATTTGTTATTCATTCTGATAAATCCGTCTTGAGACACGACGTGTTTGGACTCAAATTTCGTGACCGAGTTGACTGCACCTCAGAGTGGACTGGGCTTGGGCTTACGTTTGCATTTTTCCAGAACCTTCTTGTATACTTTGACAGCAATTGACCACTTTCATAAATGGCTGCCGGATTAATATTCTTTTGTTTAAATTTAAATTAGCCTTTCTGGCCTCGCTTGAGATAATGTATTCTTTTGAATTTTGTACTGGAGAACGAGGCCAGAAAGGCTAATTTAAATTTAAACAAAAGAATATTAATCCGGCAGCCATTTATGAAAGTGGTCAATT